CTTGGTTTACAGCCTTCAGACCTTCGCGTGTGCATAGCTGTTAGGGCCGTTATTCTGCTGCACATGCGATGCCAACTTTACTTCCTCCCTCCTCTCTGATTGCCCGTGGATGGGTGGCACCACGGAACCACGGAAGGTGCCAGCATGCCTGCTGCTCCACTGTGCCTGACTGCAAGTCTTCAGCCCAAGGCTGGGAATCAGGGGGATGTGAGGCAAGAAGACACAGGAGGTTCAGCCCAAGTCACAGCCTACAAAAGAGGGAGCCGCCCTAGGGCAAAGGAACACTTATTTTTAAATGAAGAAAACTGGCTTTGTTCTAAACCCATTTTTCCTACTTCAGTGTCCCAAAGTTGGCAATGAAGGCCAAGAGAACATGCACAATTCTCTTCCACTTATAGGTTTGAAATGAAAAACAACAACAAAAACTGGAAGTCCAGGGGGTGGTTAGCAGCTGTGGTCGTGGGCTGATCTGCAAGGCAAGGCAAGCCGCAAGCCGATTGCTGTACCTAACCATGAGTGCTGGCTGTGATTTCCTGCATAAGCGCACTCCTTGGTATCAAGTGCATTACCCACCTATTGGTTGCATAATTTCAAGTTTAGAATGCATGTGCAAGATGGGGCCTCGACCCTCGACCTAGCACCGGGTCTCTGGCTTTGGGCTGGTGGGAAGCATTAACTAGAAACTGCTCTCCTGGGGGACAGGCTACAGTCTTGAGGTCATGTTGTTTGACGTTTGAAGGATCACCCTGACCGGTATCTGCCCTCCTCCCATGGTTAGCGAGTGTTCCTAGGAAAGCCTAGGAAAGTGGTATTTCTGAGTCTGCACCAAATGCCACCTCTCCTACGTGGTGACTGTGGGAGGAACGCCGTGCCTGCTGACAGGGCGTCGTGAGCGTGGGTTATGAGCTGCACGGGCAGAGAACAGCGGAGAGAACTTGCAGTACTGTGGAGGGTCGGCCCTCTCAGCCTGGACCACAGGAAGAAGGCCAGCGCAAGGTGAAGCATTGGAGAAGCAGGCAGCAAGAGCCTGGTGGAGGGTGCTGATCTCCGTGAGGAGAGTGGAAGGGACAAGTAGAGATCCCTGGAGACACTGGACAGAGCAAGGGAGTGACCAGTGACTTGTCAGTCTTGTGAGTTCACCTCAACGAGCAGGTCCCTTCACTAGGCTACCTATGGGTCTTGCTCTTTGTCCCCATAGGGTCTTTCAGTTAGGATTCCTGAGCTATCCAAAGTGCTGCATTTCACAAATTTACACATCTTGGGCTTTTATTTCTTACTTCCTGTCCCTACTTGGCACAAGTCTTTGAAGTTCATAACTTAACTCTTGTGGAGTCTAAACCTAAAAGTCTGAATTCTGACTCAGCTACCCTGAGGAGCTCGTCTGGGAAGCTGTGGGAGGCAGCAGCAGTGAAGGAAATGGAGGTGCGTTGCCTGAGAGGCGGAGACATTTAGCCACCCGGTTTCCTCAGGCCCTTCTCAACCCTCCCACTCCCCTCCTTTGTGGCTGCTCTTGATGGGGTAGGCGCTTCTTGGCAGGACACTACTACGGCAAGGCAAACCCAGGAGTCTTAGGCTCCGTGATTCTAAGATAAAGGGATGGTTTTATCTGCACGTGGGAGTGCAGGAAGATGGCTAAGCTTACCTGAGGGACCCCTAGCAGAATGCTTGGCCTGTGTCTGGGTGTGTGGCCAGGGAGGGTATTTCCTGAGAATACTGCTATGTGGGTAAAAAAAAAAAAAAAAAAACCCAACAAACAAACAAAAAAACGGACTCAGGAAGACACACCCAGGGGTCAGGATGGAATGAAAAAGCAGGGAAGAGGTGACAGAATTTCTGGGTATGTAAAGGTGCTTGCTGTGGAAATCCAGCAACTAGGATTTGGTCCCAGAGGAACAACTCTTGCAAGTTGGCTTTTGACTTCCAAACGTGTGCCATGGCATTCGTGTGACTGCATATTCCCTCTTTCACACACACTAAATAAATATATAAGATTTTAGAGCAGAATGAGGGGGCTGGCGCATGGGTCCTCGAGAGCTGCCTTTTTCTGCTGCTGTTGCTGCTGCCCGTCAGTGTTTGCCTGTGGACTTGAACCAGCAGTTCTCCAAGAGGTGTTTCAAGTGTTTGGCCTCAGATGGAGTCTCTCTCAGTGTTTTCTCTTTCTCTGAGGCCGCAGTTTCTCGGCCTGAGCAGCTACTGACTTCTTCGGCTCTTCAGCCTGCTGGCAGCTAGAGTACGCCTGTCCAGGCTCTAATTGTGTGAGCCAATCAAATAAACCAGCTCAGATAACCGGATTTCCTATTGGTTCTGTTGCTCCAGAGCACCCTGACTCACACAGAAGGCAACTGGATCTGGTGAGAATCCCCAGGCTGTGAGTGGAGTCAGATTCCCCGAGGATCTTTCCCCTTTCAGGGACACAGACCTGAGCTCAGCAGCACCGTGCCTACTCTCCTACCCACTCCCCTCCTCCGCTTGCAGTAACAGCATTTAGCGATGAAATAAGTGAAGGGAGATGGGAGGTTGGGGTCACCGTGCACCTTCAACAAAGCGCAATTTTGGCTGGATAGCGCTACTGCTTTCAGCCCTGTCAGGCCACCCTCCGATTTATTAGGTTTCTCACAGCCCGCAGTGGCTGTGCAACCCCAGCAGCCCAGCATTTCATCACGGATCAGCCCACCTAATCGGAACTCAGGGCTGCAAGCAAGAGGAAGCATCTTGCTGGCCTGTTAGCCCAACGTTCATGTATTGGCTATCTTCTGAACCAGCCATTGAATTATACAATGCCAGAGCTGGCTGAGCCCTAATAAATCATCAGTTGACCCCATATTTTACAGGTGTCAGCACTTACACGGAGAGGTTAAGTGATTGCATAAGGTCTCCCAGAAGGGCTGAGGTCAGAATCCAGATCTCCTGTCAGCCAGTTCACAATGCTCTCCTCCCCGCCCTGCTACTGGCAAGGCGAAGATGACAGATTAGCTTAGACGAGCATAAAGCAGAGGGACAGACACACACTTGCCCTGAACACTTCAAATTAAATTAATACAGACGGAGAAAAGGCAGAAAGCAGAGAATGCTTAGGAAGTGAAACTGGAAAGCAAGGATGTGAACACAAAATGATGGTCCGTGTTAGGGGAAACCGGGAGAAGGGCTGTGTTCCTTCGTTTTGTGATACTGTATCAGAACGCTACAGATGGGATATTTTGTTAGGAAAATAATTCTATTTCTTACATTCCTGGAGGTTGGAGACCCTATATCTGGGGAGAGTTTAGAGTTTAGTCATCGCATGGCAGATGGTGGGAGGCAAGAGACCATGAGAAGGGTCAAAGTCATTTTTATAGCAGACCTACCTTCCTGATAGCTACCCTGGTCCCTTGATTAGGACATGAGTCCATTGCTAAGCACCCCTGGTTGTCCCCAGCTCACATCACTATTGTTCTGAGGATTAAGTTACCAACCTCTGAGGCCATGTTCACCCCCCAGCAGGGTTGAAGGGATTTCTATTGATTCTGCTTCCCTGCTACCTTTATTATTTAATCCTCATTCTTGTCAACACACAACACTTCTTTGGCCATTCTTCCTTCTCATCATCACCTGTTTTCATATCGCACCAGGTACACACAAGCTTTTAAATCAGCGAGTTTTGATGCAAGATAAGACAGCAAGCTTTGAATCCTCCAATAAAATCGGCAGGACATCTGGCACTAAATACTTCTATTTGCTCTTTAGAGGAAGGTTTGCTCTGCATTTGCTCTCTTAAAAAAAAATAACATAGGAATGAAAATGGGTTGACATTTTGAAAACAAGAAAACACAAGCCAAAAGAGCCTCCTTTTTTTCTGATTTCAAGCCAAAATCTCACGATAGGTCATAGGACACTGATTGGTGGCATTTGCAGCAATTGGTTATTTATAATTGACTCTTAACTATAACTGCCAGTTAGGCAACCTACTGATTTTTCTTGACAGCAATGGAAGAAAGAAAGAAATATACATGTTACAAGTTATTTGAAAAAGAAAGCATTTCCACTTATTTTTGTAGGAACTCAAAGACCTGCTAAGGTCTTCACACGACAGCCGTAACTCTTGCCCTCGGGGTGCTTGCCAGCTGGAAATGTATGGAAAGGTTGGAGTCTGGGAATGCTTATTTTTAATTCAGAAGGAACGGCCACACCGTCACCAAAGCTTTGGAGCAAGAGCGCTGAGCTCTGTGCGGCTTTTCAGTTCCAAGGATTAAGCTATAGGTATGTGAGGAGGAAAAGCATCCTGGGTAATCAAAGGCCCTTTATGGCTAACATGATCTTTATCTCCATCTTAGGAGCAGTTGATCAGACCACCTGTTTGAAATGTATGTACAAATGGAAGATTTGTGTGTGTCACATCAGTAATCTGTTGTAAGGAGAAATGCATCCATATCTGAACTAAGATTGATTTCTTGTTCTGAATTAGAGAAATGAAGGTTGAGTTTGGAGTGTTGCTATGGCCCCTGCGGCCCTACCCTTAATGAAATAGATGGATTGGGCCCAGCTGTCTCAGCGCCTGGCCAACTGCTGGAACCCTGGAGTTTCCCTGTCGCCTGATGGCCTCCTCCAGGGCAGTGTACAGGCCTAAGGTTGTTTGGAGGAAAACACTGTGGCTGGTAGCATCTTTACCTTCAAATGAGTGTAGCCCAGGTTACAGCCCCTCAGACAAATGTCTTCACAGTCAAGCTTCGTCTAGGGATGAAGAAACCGGTGGTGGCCTAACCATTTTTTCTGTGATTTGTTAAACCCTGCAAACGAATGCTCTCTGTTCGCACTCAGTCATGAGCTCGAAGGGCATTTACTCATGAGCATGCGATAATTAACCCGTTCCTCCCTTTGGGAAGGCTCACATTTTTTCATAAAATGGATTGCTCCCATTTTATTTTTAAATTTGCATTAGAGGAGAGAATGGATCGGTGCTTCGTGACTCATAGATACTATAGCTAGAAGTCGATGACCTGGCTCAGAGCATGAGCCGCACTTACCCATACTGAATAACGCCCATGAGAGGACCAGCAGGGCCGATGTCAAGAGCCTGCACAACATCCGCAAGGAACTGCTTCTGGATCCGGAAGCGGCGCTTGCCGATGCTGGCACTCCCGTCGATTAAGAACGACAAGTCAACTTTGCAGTCTGAGGAACAGAAAAAGATGCTGTGATTGTTGGCTCTGGGTGCTCCCACCTTGTCTTTCTCAGTTTTCTCAGAGAAATATATATATATAGTATGAATTAAACAATATAATTTAGTTGTTTTCCTGTATGTATACATATATAACTATATATATGAATACATAATATATAATGTAACTGTATATGATTATATATTATAGCTTATATATATAGTTTTATTCATAAGTTACACACACTAAGAGGCTAATAATAACTAATAACAAAGCAGAATAATTATACCAATGTACTAAAATAAAAACTAATAAAAGCTTAGGAGTTTATTTATTTCTGGAATTTTCCGTTTAATATTTTCGGACCGCAGTTGGTGACCGGCAGTCGAATCTGTGGCAAAGAAAACCCTGGGTAAGAGGATCCTGGTGTGTAAGAAGTAAAAGAGAGGCGGGAAGGATGTCAGGCCTGAAGGTTTCAGCCTCCCAGTGAATGCTATGCGGGCTAAGGAATCCGTGTGCGGCACGCTCCTCTGCAGTCGCGCTGGCTCAGCGTGATCAGAGGTTGCTGAGCCGAGGCCCTGGTGGGAGTTCATATGGCCTTAGGATTAATAAAAAACAAACAACGAATTATTGAATGCTTGCATTTGGGGAGACTAGGGTGTTTCAGAAACAAGAGTAGGGAATTTTGATCTAGAACATCTAAGACCACCTAACGGCCGACACCCCCTGGTGGGAGGGGAGAAACCGCCTGTCCCTGAGCTGTCATGGCCTTCACGCTCTTCAGAAGGAACTTGGCTTCCTCGGGGCGGTTAAGAAAGGCGCTGCGGACTGTTGAAAGTACCAAGGGCTTCTGAGCTGACGACGCTTGGAGCAAAACCGGTTAGAAATAGTTACTGAGTGATAAGGAAGAACTGGTGGGTGGAAAAAAGCTGAATCTGAGAACGTGCTGAAATGGCTATCGAAAGCAGAGCAGGTTCTGAGGAGGGCACAGGGACTCTGTCTGTCTAGCTGTTTGCATCTTAGCAATTCAGCAAATCTCAGCTTTCCGCTCCAGGTCAGCAAGCGCCTTCTAGGGTTCCCTGTCCAGCTGATTTTCTTCCATGCTGCCTGTATCCAAGAATAACCCTTGAGATGAAGATTTCAGGAAACAAGCGAAATTCAAAAGTGGTTTAAAGACTCCGCCAAAGACAGAGGTGAAGCAGAAGACAGGGAAAAGAATTACCGTGTTTTCTTAGGTCTTGCTCTGCGATGTGAATTACGGCCAGCAGGTGGCAGTAATGTCCTTCAGGGCTTTTGGCCCACCAGCCCCTACAGTGTGTAGAAGAGTATTGACTCCTGGTACCCACTCATACGGAGAATCAGATTTGTCTTTAAATGTGATCCCTAGCCTTGAGAAGCACTCCTAAACAAGAGTTTCCCTTCCAGGCGCCAGCATATTAGTTTAATATTGCCTTTTAAAATAGAGGCAATGGATTCTAAGAAGAGATAGCCGGGTTTCCCGTATTCATTTCTTTTTCAATGATAACAGTGCGTGGATTTGGGAGCATCTGTTTTGGGTCCTAAAGGACCAAGTTCTTGCTCATTTCTTACGTCTTGAACTATTTTCAGGAACAGCGTGTTCATTTTTGAGCAAACAATTTATCCGCTTAGTTCTTTTGGCTCTCTGGCCTGATTGCTGATGGCTGACCGGGAAGTGTCCTTTGTCCCTCTTCCCAGGACTTTGTTTTTTCCAATCTCTGGGACCAAACACAAGGCCTTGTTGCACTTTCCAGGCAATCACCCTATTACGAGTCAAAAGCCTCTGCCCCCAACCTCCCGGGATATCTCAATGACTATGTTTCTCTCATGGCATGTACAGGCTAGGACCCAGTGGGTTTCTTCAATGGAAATGACAGTATGCCCATCTGAAGGTGACAGCAGTATTGGTGGAGTCGCAAGGTGTTCAGCATTAGAGTCTTATTTATGGTCACAGCAAAGGTTCAGGATGAGGAAGGACGGGCAGATGGGTCAGATGTAGTATCTACAGGAATCAATGCACTGATTTTCTTAATTCTGCGGCACGGTTCCACATGGTATGAGGCTATCGGTGAACACAAGCTCTGTGCCATATGATGCATCAGGCCCATACTTTGTACCTTTGGCTAATATCTATCAGAGGCATGCCCGGGTCACAGGTGTTATTCAGGTTCTGCAAAATAACCTCCCAGCCACCCTCAAGGACCACTGGTAACTGTGGCTGTAGAATCAGTCAGTATGTCTGGGGTGGAGGCTTTTCTCTACAGTTGTTCCAAGTTCCCAGGGCAACCCGAGGATGCTACTGGCCTTCTGACCATCCTGGGAGTGGCGAGGTTTAGTGACAGTCTGACACAATAGTTAGGAGGCAATTGATGGGCGTCTGCGGTCTGTCTTGGGGTGTTTCTTACACGCAGCAGAGTTGAGACAATGTTGCAGGTGTTTTCTTTCGTTGTGCTGGAAGGCACGTCACTCTGTTTCTTCTTGCTCTCGTCCCTCCTTTGTGATAGTCCTGGGAGTGCTATCCCTGCCGAGTGTGGCATCTGCGTGTGCGCTGTTTCTTCCTTTTTCTACCTTGTTGTCCACGTCCCATTTTAACAGCTTCCTCACATACAGTCTCTGCTTTGAACCACAGTTCATCTCCCAACTCTAAACATCTTTTAAAAATTTGAGGCGTTTTGATACCCACTTAACGTTCTTTTTCTCTTTAATTTGACGAAGGATGACAGAATATTTACACTGTCACCTTGGTCCCGGACTCTGCCTTTCTGACTGGACCACCCCCTCCCATCCAAGTATCAGCCTTGCTATTGGACTGAATATCAATCTCTCTCACGGCAGATGACAGACATACAGCCTCTTTCTGTCCCCAACCCTGCTCCATCCTGTGTCCCTCACCCCAGTGCCATTGATCCAGTTGTGTAAGTTTTTACAATTTAAATTACATCTATGTGTTTACTTAGTACGTGAGGAGAAGAACACTGCCTGTGCCTTGGCACCAGCGTATAGCTCAGAGGGAGCACTCACGGGAGCTGCTTCTCTCTTCCCGCCATGAATGAAACCCGGGTATCGGGCTTGGCGAAACGTGCCTTTCCTGGCTAAGTCACCTCCAGAGCCCTGTGACGTCATTTTAAGCTGTCCTGTCTCTTGCCCTGCTCCAACCCTATAGATTCCTCCTTTTCTGTATTTCGTGACTCGGCCTATTTCTCTCATTTCTGGTTCTGTCTGCAAGGCCTGGCTTATATCACCCCCTCGGTGCTCGATCCCTGCCGATCGGCCTGTCAATTCTTTTCATCCACTCTTGTACCCCACCCCTTCTCATTCTTCACACTGTTGCCATAGTGACATTAAAAAAAAAAAACCTCCGTCCATTCCCCACCATGCACATACTTGAAATCCTTCAAAAGCCCTCCAGTCTCCTTAGAACAAAGTGTCAGAAGATGGAAGCTAAATAGATCTGTGGTAGGAGAGAAGAGGGTCTGAATGCAAGTGAGTAGGTAGAGGAGAGAGAGCTCATCAGATGTTAAGACCGCCCTGGGGGTTCCAGCTGTCAGTCAACTCACTTGGATCTCCCTGGGGCACTGGCTCGGAAGACTGTGTGCTGAGTTCTTCTTTTGGCACAAATCCTGGAAAGAAGAGTAGAAGCAGTTGTGATTTCCAGGCATAGGAAGCACCTGGCCTTACCCCAGGGAAGGAGACAAAGTGGACATTCATAGCCAGTGCTCTCTTGGCTCATAGCTGCCTCTCGTCTACATCGGCCCCATCCTACGAAAAATACATGCCGGCAGCCTGCCCGACGGTGCTCTGTTGGGTGCTCTTGGGGGACCTTGTTCTGCTCTCATTTCTATCTGTGCCCTGGTTTATCTATGTGGAAACATTACGGATGTGCCAGTGTAAACAGATCATTCTCTAACATTCTGGAAGTTTTGAGGTCAGGAAATGAGTATGGGTCCTCTAAACCTTTACAGTACATTTGGGCCTTGGCCAAATTTTGGTGATGTAGGCACCAGACAAAGATGAGTTAGACACGTACAGGGCAGTCTGGGAAGGGTTGTTTGTGTACCAGAGGGAACACAACTCAGATCGAAGGTCAGGGAAGACAGTTTCTTACGTAAGGCTAGAGGCAGAGATACAAGGTGTGGGGCTGGGTTTCAGCTGGGCCGGGTGGCATGGCTTATTAGGGCTACTGACACGGGATGTGACAATAAATCACAAGCACAGTAAGCATGGATCTGTTAGGGTGGCTGCATCAAACACATGCAGGGACCAAGTCTCCTAGTTCTAGAAGTTTCTGGCAGTGGAGGCAGGTGTGGCTGTTCTCTTTGCTGCGCTGAGCTTTCTGCTGTTTTGTTTTTCCAGTTTGCAAAGCGCATGATTTCATCTTCCTATTAAAGGTCAGCCAGCTCACTTTAGTTCCTCACATCATTTGGAAATCTTGTTTTGGGTGTCCAACAGTATTTCTTGGCCAGATGTTTCACAGGGACATGTCTCAAAGCTCTCTCTCTCTCTCTCTCTCTCTCATCAGTGTGTGTGTGTGTGTGTGTGTGTGTGTGTGTGTGTGTGTGTGTGTGTTGGGGGGGCAAGTTCAGAGGTTTGACCTTTCTATCCTTGTCTCCCGCCCCCTTGCCAGTAAAATCTTGCTTCCTATCAAGAACTGGAAGGCTTTGTTAGAAGATCAAATATTTAATGTGGTATGCATTGAAAAGCACACACACACACACACACACACACACTGATGAGAATGGAAAACCTGATACCAGTTTCTTTTTACCTTCTTTCCTATTTTTGTTTTGTTTTGCTTTTTCAGACAGAGTCCCACTGTGTATCCTTGACTGGCCTGGCATTCACTACGTAGACCAGCCTGGCCTCAGACTCACAGATTCACTTGTGCCAGCCCCCTGAGCGCTGGGACTAAAGGCATCCCTTTTGAAACAGAGAACCACGGTGCATGGTGCAGAAGAAGGGAGAGTCTAAACCCATCTTGCAATGAACTCGCTACCTCCAGCCTTTCTTCATGCTTTCTCTCTCCTTGTTGAAAAACCATTATTTTCCAGGCACCCCTAGGAAAGCCTAAATGGGCCCATCCTTAGACCTGAAGGTCCCAGGAGCAAGGCTCTAGCAAGGCCACTGTGGCTGGGCTAGGACGCCTGAGCCACCCACTGGACTGTTAGGCCTCCCAGCTCTTCCGTGCTGTGCGTCTGGTCTGGCTGGGGTTGAGAGGTCAGCTGGAGACTTACCTGAATCTAAAAGGATGGGTCCAGGCTTCCACGAGTCCATCTCTCCTGAATTTCAATAGAAAGAAAGAAATGTACTAGAACCAAACAAGCAAATGTTCTCAAGGCACGTGCTAGGACACTGCTTCCCAGACCAGGTAAAAAGTTCAGTGCTGGAGGATGGACCAGTATTTTGCAGGAAGAAGCATGACACCCTTCTGATGGTCCTTCCACGTGGAGCTTTTAACACCAAAGGTAGGTGCTTCATTCCCTCTTCACCAAGAGGCATGGACGAAAAGGAATCCTAGGATTCCTGGAAGGCTTGTTTAGTCCAAAACAGCCCATACTCCTATAAAGTCCCAGTATCTTAGTGGCTGGCTGGTAGCTGAACACTTCCAGAGACTAGGAGTCACCACTTACCCAAGCAAAGCAGTGTATGCTGACTTTGTCTTCGATTACTGAGAAGCTGGAATTATTTTCCTTGCAGCCGTTGGAAGTGTTTTGAGCTAATGCTTTACCCACAGGTTCAGTCATCTCTCCATCTTTCCACCCGCCCACATCAATATGTGCCATTTTAATACCATTTTAATTACACCTGTCCCACCTGTCTGGATTATTTTCCAGAGTCGGCCCCTCTACCAGTTTCCGAGTTCCCTCTCATTGCATGTCTCAAATCAGTGTGTGCTGGCTAGGGTCGTGCAGCCTGACACACACACGAGAGTTATTGGAAAGGAGGGAATCTCAATTGCAAAAACGTCCCCTGGGGATCCAGCTGTAATGCGTTTTCTTAATTAGTGCCTGATGGGGGAAGGGCCAGCTCATTGTGGGTGGTCCCATCCCTGGGCTGGTGGTCCTTGGTTTTATAAGAAAGCAGGCTGAACACACCATGATGGGCAGGCCAGTAAGCAGCACCCCTCCACGGCCTCTGCACCTGCTGCTGCCTCCAGCTTCCTGCCCTGCTTGAGTTCCTGTCCTGACTTCCTTTGGTGGTGAACAGCAACATGGAACTGTGAGCCAAATAAACCCCTTCTCTCCCCTCCCCCCCAAGTTGCTTTGGTCACAGTGTTTCATCACAGCAGTAGTGACCCTGATTAGAAACACACGCCTGCGTTCTAACGCACCAGCAGGCTGTGAGGTAGAAAGGATGATGGAGCCTGCTCTGTTTTTGGGAAATCCATATGGTTAAGGGAGCTCCGGGGCAGCGAGAACATATTGGGAAACCTCACAACACAAACATGGCTTATTTCTTTCTCTGTCTTTCCCTGCGTGCTTCCCAGAAGCGCTAGGACAGAAACAGCTTTTATCACCCCAAGGCTGCCTGTCCTGCTGTGGTTGGAAACTACTAAACCACTCTCTAGGAGTTTTAATTTTTCTGTATGTAAAGAGGCCAGGGGATTTTAAAAAGGTTATCATACCCGAGTATGCCCGGGTTTGGTGGTGAGACCTGGATTTAATTTGGTTCAGGCATTACTGACACTGAGCCAGTCAATGGCACCCTCTATGAGCCTTAACTAGGTTGGGTGAGATAGCCTCCTGCTACCAAGACCTTCTAATGAGCTGTAAACATTCTCTTTACCCTTGTTACTTTACTGCCACCTGCTGGTGGAAATAAACACTGCACTATTTTCCTTGTCAAAAAGATGCTGCTGGCGTCTCTGGTTTTTGCCCAAAACTCTTACAATGTGATTTTTTAAAAAAGTATTTTAAACTTTCCTCAACACTGTGCCCAAAGCATCTGCTTTAATACCCTGCTGGATAGAGTCTTTCAGAGGCCCTCTGTGATGAGTTCCTGTCCTGTTTCCTGTTTTCTTCCTTTTCCAATGTCTATCCTGTTTGCCTTTCTGAATGAGGATTGATTCTCTTACCCAGGGTCCTCCTTTGAGGGAGGGGGCTACAGCTGGGATGAAAATAAAATGCTGATCACATTATTAATTTGGCCACCCCATCTTCTTAATTTTTTTCCCAAAAGCCTGTCCATCAGTGCCACTTTCATCTTGCTTGGTGACAAATCTGAACAAATTCGCATTCATTTAATAACCAGGGCCTGAAAAATATTTGGACAGCTGAGGTTTAGCGTATTTTGGACTTGGTGGTAATGAGAACTGAAAAAAGGGCATTTGTGTTTGGGTGTCAAGGAGGAACAGGGTGGCCTGGGAAGAAATCAGTCAGAAGGCCATCCTGAGACTGCCAAAAACAGGCAGGGTGTGCCTCAGCCATCTGGTCTACAGTTCACCTATAGCCTTCTCCTGTGGAAGGTGGATGCCAGGAGGACGAATCCTGCCCTGGCTCACACAGGGAAGACTCAGAAGGACACGTACATATGGGCACTCAAGCAGGCAGGGAATTATTTTGGTGGCCATCTTTGGTTGACCGTCTCCCAGATAAGTTAGAGCTAAGAGAAGCACTGCGTGGAACTATTAACATTTACTGAGAGCTTCTGCAGTGTCAGCCAGAGCTCTTTGAAAGCACTAAGTCACAGTGAGCTTGAATTAGGTACAGCTATGACCCCATTTTGCACGTGGGGAAACGGGAACACAAAAATTTGCCTTCATTGAAAGTTGAGCTCAGGTCAGCAGGTTCCAGAGACTGAACTTATTCCCCATCCATCCATCCATCCATCCATCCATCCACCTATCTGTTCATCCATTCATCCATCCCTCCACCCACACATCCATCCATTTATCTATCCATCCATCTATCCACCTATTAATCTATTCACCCATCCATGTACTAATTTCTCTCCCTCCCTCCCTGTCTTCCCTCCCTCTCTGTTTGTCTGTCTGTCTGTCTCTCTCTCACACACACACAAGCACACACAGAGAGGAAAGGACCGCTGTTGTTTGAGCACCGCAGGGTAACTGATCGCACAACAGAAGAGCTTGGCCTGGCGCTGTCGCCTGTAACTCCCGCTGAAGTGCCTAACTCTTCAAAAGGACCTCTGATGATAGCGCCTGCCCCTATGACATACTGCATGCGATACTGAGGCAGGTTTCAGCTTCTTCTGTTCCCCTGCACATCTGGAAATCACCACCATAGCAGAGGGAGCTGCAACATAGAGCCACCAGGGCTATAAAGTTTTATGGGCCTAAAGCCCAGGTGGCCGGACAGCCCCCCTGGTGAGTCCCTGGGGTGCAGTTTGAAGGAGGAAGTGGAAGTTTGATGCTATAGCAGGCCTCCAGAGCTAGTAGATGCTAACAGCTTCCTGTCTCCTTTCCTGGTTATGTGTTCCTCAGGCAAGAAGGCAGCACATTTCCCTCAGATTTCCTCTTGCTGTACCCACACAGGAAGTGCTAAGAGAATACAGGCCGGCAGCTGTGCCCAAGGCATTGGCGTGCCAGCAGCCTGTTGCAAAGGCACTTTTAGAGACCACTGGGGACATTTTCTAGCCCTGGGAATGAGTTCATGCCAGGGAAGCATTAATGGCCCCAGGTTTACAAACAGGATGCCCTCCGACACACACTGTGAGATATTTATTTGGGACCTGGAAAACATTTTTTCATGGAAACACTAATTCCATGAAGCACTAATTCATGCCGAGGCTTCTAGGCCAGAGGAGCTTATTTGACTCAAAAAGAGCCCATGGGGCCTTGCTTGATATTCTCACCCGAGTACACATACTCAAGTATGCACAGACAGGATTCAGGGACCTGCTTATTCTAGAACAGAAACTGGCCAGGGACTTGAGTAGAGAGGAGCCAGGTGTGAGACAGACCTTGCCCAGTTGGCTAGTGCTAATTTCAAAGGAGCAGTAGTTCTCAGACACACGTGCTGTGTTCCGCTCCAGGGCTCCGCCATGCACTACCAGGTCACAGAAGGGCCCGTTGGAGGAACTGGTGAAATTTACTCCAGAAATGATGAGTCGTTAAGTTGAGGTTCATAGATCTGAAATTGTCTCTTGAGTTGAAAGACACTCAGAATCCCAGACTTTCTCTGGTTACTGAAGACCTCAAAGGGTTTTTGTTTGCATGCGGATTCTTTTTTTCTTTTTCTTGGTAGGGCATTAGCCTAGATGTATTTTATGCAATTCTTTGTAATTCCAGGATCAAGCGGTTTTTATAGCTGAGGAACTGGGCAACTTGCTTGACATGTATGATGAGCCTGTGGGAGGTGAGAGCTGGCGGGAGACCTAAAAGCCCAGATGTTCTCAACTGCTTTCACTCAGAGTCTACAGATAGTTTCTCCCCTCTGCAGGAGCTTTTGTGAGATTTCATGGCTATCCATTCCTGCACACCTTTAGGTGGTAGGGTGACCCCCCGCAAGGACATGCTGAGAATTATGGGGAAGGCGTGAGTGGCCCAGGGCAGTTGTGTGGTTGATGGTGGTGTAGTTTCCCTCTGTTGCTGTGACATAATACTCAGAACCAAGGCAACTCTGGGAGGAAAGGATTCGTCTGTCTTACACTTTCAAGTTATAGACTGTCACTGAGGGAAGTCAGGGCAGGAATTCACACAGGAACCCAACGGCAGAAACCGTGGAGGGATGGCGCTTGCTGGCTTGCTTCCAGGCTCTGGCTTAGCTAGCAAATTACAGCCCAGGACTACAAGAGTAGGGAATGTTGCTGCCCGTGTTGGACAATGGACCTCCTCCTCCAATGAAAAATCAGGACACTCTCCCACCCACAAGCTCACAGATTAGTCTGATCTAGGCACTCTTTCCATGGTGAGTTCAGGCTGGGGTCAAGTTGACAGTTAAGGCTAATTAGGATAATTAATTGGTGAGAAGGGGAAGAGCTGAAGAAATGGACAAGATTTGGGTAAAAGGTAGCTAAAAACTTTTTTTGTGGGTCTAAGGATTAGAAACATGAAGGAGACTAAAGAGGAAGCAGAGACTCACAGAACAAAAGAACTAGAGGGAGATTTGGTTAGAAAAAAGAACGAGGTCAAATTCATCCACTGGAACAGAGCCTCGAATCAATCCAAAGGCAAACAGGCAGGAAACAAAAGGGGAGCTGGAGCCTGGAAATGTGCCCCTGTTTCTCTCCACCCCTAACTCATGTCTGATTCACATGGTGCATCTTGGTATTTGCACCTTATCCCAGAGGCCAGCCCGGGAGATTGCTTAGTGGGTGG